ATCATGTCTCCCGAGATATATGACTTATTATACTTGGCCCGGGGTGCATTGTTTTACTGCATTCGATGAGGAATATATCGTTTGCTCTTCCTTGATCTTGATACGAAGGGTCTCAGACCTTGATTACAATCTCATGGATCTGTTCTCTCCCTCCGTTTTCTCGTCGAAAAATCGATAATGCTGTAATATTTTGACAATTTTATGAAGGAGAAGATTAATGCTATATTCTCAAAAGAAATAATGTCTTGGCGCATAGATCAAGCGGGTAACTTTCTAAAGTTGAACAATTAAGATAAATGAAGAAAAGTTGGTCTATGTTGGAGAGTCCGGAACCAAAATATGGTTCTTTTGGACTTAAAGAACCAAAATATGTGGAAAAAAACTAGCGACCATAATATATATAGCGCGGTATATTTGAACTTAAATGGGCGCAAGGTATAGCGCCCTTATTTACCGCGCTATAGTATAGCGCGATAAATAAGGGCGCTATACCTACATAAATACCATCTTCTTCCCCAAAAATTGAACGCCCCCCCCCCCCCCCCCCTCCCCCTTAAAAACCGAGCCAAAACCAGCGGTCCCCCCTCCATTTTTAACGAAACAAAACTCGAGTGGAGCCCATCGGTCCAACAAAAAGTGTATATTCTCGGTCCCACATCGTATCTAAGGCGTTATATCGTAGTGGGTTGCTTGTTTCGGCTCCAAATCACCAAATCTTCAACTTTCCAAAAATTTTGAATCGAGATATTCCGACTTATTGTTTTGTTAAAACTCATGTATAAAAAATGCCCTTTTACCGTGTTCTATGTTATTTCGTGATTGTTTTGCGATTTACTTAATTTGTTATTTTTTATCCGGATTATATTATTAGTGTGATAAAAAAATTAGTAAAATAGAGAAATTATTATTAGTTGTTAAAAAAATATTAATTAGTTAATTTTTACTTTGGTATATGTTTTTTCGTGATTGATTTGTAGTTAAATTAATTTATTATTTTTATCCAGTTTAGATTAGTTATTTGCTAAAAGATTAGTAAAATAGATAAATTATTATTTTAGGAATAATTAATCTTATTTAGATGTTATTGTTGTACATATATGAATATGTGACTTTAGTAAACTAACATATAAAATATTAAAGTAACATATAAAAATATCGAATGTATCAACCTAATTAACAATATAGTAAAAATATCGAATAAATTTTAATATTAAAGATGTTGCAATATATTTAAATATGTTAAGCAATGAAAAAGAAAAATACTTTAATTAATATTGTTCAATTTACAGTAGTCGTCATGGAGGTTCTGCCTGTGCATCCCGGACCTGAATCGCTAGAGCTATTGTTGCTACAGGCCGAGCATATGTCTTCGTACATATGAGAGGGGCAGTGTTTGGCCCAAACATTTTGCGCTAGACGGGTAGATGATATGTGGGACTTTCTTAGGGTCCACCCACTCTATCCCTGTATAGTCAAATGCCTTCAGGATACGGGTTTCTATAGGATCATAGTGATCGGCCGGTTGCAATTGGACTAGTCATTGATCATGACATTGATAGAGCGATGGCGACCGGAGACGCACACGTTTCGTTTACCCATTGGCGAGGCTACTATCACGCTTCAGGATGTGGAGGTTCTGTATGGGCTGCCGGTTAATGGACATCCTGTAGCTTACCTGCATGCTCTCAGAGAATATACGGGATTGTAGTACCTGGAGATGTTGCAGCGGCTCACCGGTTTCCAGCCTGCGGAGGAGGCTGCATTAAATGGGGCCAGTCATTTGCAGTTGACGCCCGTCCGGCTGCATCTAAAGGTGATGGATGCGGACATTACATATGATACACCGGATCTTCATATCGACCGGTACACGAGATTGTTGATGCTGCTTATGTTTGGTGGGGTATTGTTCCCGAACACTTCGGGAAACCTAGTCAGCTTGAGATTTCTTCATCATCTTGAGCGGCTAGACGATTTACCTAGTTACAACTGGGGTGCAACTGTTCTAGGTTACTTGTATAGGCAGATGTGCCGAGCAAGCATGGGCAGTGAGAAGTTGCCAGATATTTGCCGTTGCTGCAGATGAAAACATAGTCAATTATTTTCATGATTATAACATACATAGTAAAAATATACCTTAAATTTTATGTCCACGTTGTATATTAAGTTTGGGCCTGGAAGCGGTTCCTGCAGTTGCAACCACCTCTACCACCCATCGCTCCGGATGCACCACTCATCATTTCTCCCTTTAGCTAGGAGATGGGTTGATAGGCGAGGCTACAGATGCGAGGTCGAGGCTCGACATAATCTCCTCTATTGTAGGAATTTGTTGGATTTGCTGGAGGGCGCGCAAGTACATGTATACTTAAGTTTACTTGGCCTGGCTTTATATGTGTTGCGTTTACTCACGATTCATGTTTTTACTTAATAGTTCATATGGAGGCCATACAACGATGAGCTAATAGCTGGTTTGCCCGATTATTGCTCGAGCGACCGACTTATGTGGAGCTCTTCCGTCCCATTGATGTGTCTCGATATTGTCGAGCATCATCCCACCGAGCGAGTTCTTCGCCAGTTTGGTCGAACGCAGCTTGTACCTACTCCACCCGCTTGGCTTAGGACACATTACCAGTGGGATGATCGTTCCAGGGTTGACCAAACATACTTGGCCTGGCTAGAGGCGCAAATTAAGATTTGGGACCGTCGGCATGACCTGATTCCCCCACCCTCTCCACCTGAGCGTACGCATGGTGAGCATCAGTATATGGGCTGGTACCGCAGCGTTACCAGACTTTTTGTTGGGAATCCCGTTCATCGCGCTGGTGGTCGGTACATTCCATACGTCGGGGGGCATGAGGCACTGGTATGTTACCTGTTATACTTACTTATAACGTCAACCTAGAGTTCCGTAATTAATATTTTACATGTTGTGCAGGCTATTGGCTTACATCTGTTCTACCAGTTGGGGCTGCAGATGCAGCAACATACTGGCGAGGGAGCGACAACTTTGCACGAGTATGGCCGCCAGTTTACAGATCTGGCTTCCCGGACATTGAGGCGAGCCCGAGATGACGAGCGCTTGGGACACGAGGCTGATTATCTACCGCCAGAGCAGTACCATCGTGGGCCAGCAATGGAGCCTGAACGTGGTCGACGTGGCAGGCGTGCCCAGAGAGAAAGAGGTATCCCACGAGGGCGTGGTGGGTCGGTGAGGTCGTGGTCCCCATGGAACACGTCTTAACACTATCTATCCCTACCTTGAAAAAAATATGCTAGGTTGCTATACTGATTTGGTTGATGACAAGTGGTATGGTGTTATGCGTCCCTTAGAAAATATGACTATTAATATACACACTGATCTCAAAGTTGCAAGGCACATTATTGAGTAACAAAATACGAATATCTTCCGGTTACTTTAATATTCACCGAACGTTTGCTCACACTTATTTTTTTACATAACAACGATACCAATGTATCGTTCTCCATTGTAAGTGGTAACTTAACATGACACTGTGGAGAACAACTATAGTGTACTGAGTTGTTCTCCATCACAACCTCACCCCCCAATATAATGAAACCCTAAATCTTCGCTCTTCAGACATTATGACAAAATACAAAATAACTTAACGAACAAATATTTAGCGAACAAATATTTCGGAAGACTTGAAGGATTCTGAATGGATTTTTACAAAACCTACTGAAACTCTTTAAATAAGGAAAAAGTGATGTGTAGCGCCTTAAATATGCGCGCTATACCCAGTAGAATTATTGGTCTGTTAATTAAGTACAGAAGAATTATTAGTGGGCCTAAATTTTACGTATAGCACGCTAATTCACCGCGTTATACCCTGTTGAAATACTGGTGTGTCAGTTAATACCAGAAGAATTATTGGTGGGCTCAATAATTAAGTATAGCGCGGTGAATAATCGCGCTATACCTTAACGGACAAACGTGTCGTTAAGGTATAGCGCGGTGAACTACCGCACTATACATATTATGATTGCCAGTTTTTTTCCAATATATTTTAGTTCTTTGAGTCTAAAAGAATAATATTTGGGTTTCGGACTCCTGTGTTGAAAGTTGTCTACGGCCGAACTAATAATCAATGACAAATGATTATAAAAGAACAAGAGTTACTTTAGTGATAATTGAAACACCAAGTGGTAGTTTAATTTGGTAAAAACAGGAGGGTCAAAAGACAAAAAAAAAAAGTTTTTTCAGGGCACAAGAGACACGTCCTCATTGGAATGTACAGTAGAAGAGGATTTACTTTTGACTTTGAGTTGGAGTTCGGACATCTCCTAGGTCGAACATGGAACTGAACCGCGTTACTCTGTTTCTGAAACACGGTGAATTCTATGCAAATTCAACTATGAACCTCCTAACCCCATCTCATTAATTAATGTATTTGAGGAATATATTCTTAAAGTAATAAATAAAATCTTATACTTACTTCCTATGACAATTACTTATGGAGCAATAAATTAGAAAAATAGTAGGTAACATGCTGCGACTGATTAAATTACACGAGCAAGTAAAATTCTTCTTCAGTATATAAATTAAATATAAAAGGAAATTTCAAACTAACAACAAGAACCAACTTCTACATCTCCATCTTTTTTCTTGAGGCATTTTACTTAAGAAAAGAACATAAAAATAATAACTTACACCTGATATTTTATTTAAACCAAATAGTTTTTAACTAAAGTAAAATTACATATCACTTAATTGAGATTAATTACGAAAAATATTTTTCTTAGAAAAAATCTCCTAGCAGGCTAACGTGCGCCGCGAGATGCAATTAATATCCAAACCACCCTCTCTGTGGCCCTTAAGCAGCACCGCCGTCACGCTCACGCATACCAAACACAACGAATATTAATCAGCAGCCCACACTCTTCATCCCCATTCTCCACGGCGCATTTTAACACCCAGCCCTCATATTAAATACATAGCATTTAATAAAACCAAAAAATAACATATACTAATTATTACTTTGGAGTAANCACAGGCACAGCAACAAGAGATCATCAAATCCACGTTCCCTTTACCCCAAATCAAATCGCAGATTCAACAGGTCTCTTATTATTAAATCCGTTTCTGCTGTTTGTCGCAAAGCTAACTTTGGGTGTGATAATTGTGACGTTCTTTGTTTGTGGGTTGAATGCAGATAAAGAGCGAGGAATGAACGTAAATTCCATGTGTTACGGTGGCGTTTCTAGCATGCACCGCTTGAGTACGTGGATTTGAGAGATAAAAGGGTCTAAATTATAATCTCAAAACTGTTTATTGAGAGCGGGGAGGTAGCTGATATACTGAGAAATACAGATATAAATGTCGAATCAAGCGGTGAAGGTGAGGAGGGACAGGATTGGGGCATGCATGACATGCCCTCTTTGTCATAAACTCTTCAGAGATGCAACTACTATTTCCGAATGTCTTCATACGTGTGAGTCCCCTTTTAATTTCTCTCTTTATAAATACTATGTGGGGTACTCAATGTGAGCTGTTTGAATTTTGAATTGCTTTCGGTTTTCTGATTACTGTTTCAGTCATTTTTACGATCTGGGTTTACTTTTTAGGAATTGTGTATACCTCTTTGCCTGCTCATTGTTTGAGCGATTTTTAAAGCAGGTGTAATCGAAGATAGGATACTTGGTTTTCTCAACTAAATGGGAACGAGCTATCTGTTTGATCGATCCCATTTCAGTAAATCGATCACATGTTATTTCCTCTGCGCTAATGATTATCTACGGGAAATTGGTGATTTTGTTTTTTGGATGTTTCCGTTTCAGCTATATTTGCTTATTTTTGTGACTAGGGAGATACATGTTTTGAGCTGATCAGGACAGTTCGTAGTGTCTAATTGAAGCTTCAACTGAATGCTGTTGATTGACCTGATTTATTTGTATCGTACAGTATATATTTTCTTTTTCTGTTACTTTAGATAATGTGATCTCAGTTACAAATTGGAGTCCAGCAGAGGTGTTAATTTATGTTATTGCTAAATTGCTATCTTTTGCGCGCAAGAGAGCGTGATGTTTCTTTATTCATCTAAGCATTTCTAGAAAGTTAATTTTTTTATACAAGAGTTTACGATCTTGCATTCATGTATATGGTGTGAAACATGATGAATGAGTTGAACTTAGCTTACTTTCTTCTTTTTCCTTTTACATAAAAATGTTGTCTTTCTGCATTTTGGTTTGAGTATTATTGAAACTAGCAATTGCTTTTGCAAAAAAGATGACTACTGCTTTGACACTGTTCCTTCTGGAACTTCACTCAGTTTGCAGGAAATGCATCTACAAAAAGTTGTCTGATGAAGAAACGGAACACTGTCCAATTTGCAATATCGACTTAGGCTGTGTTCCTTTAGAGAAATTGAGGTCATATTATCTTCTAGCTCTTATTCTTTTCCCTTTCTATTTTCTTAAATGCAAAGAGTGTGCTTAAGTAGTACTCAGTGGACGTATTCGGGCAGAAAGTTTTAGCTTTAGATATTTTTCAGAAACTTTTTTTCCGTCACCTGGAAGTTCTACCAGAACATTCCATCTATATTGACTAACTTAATTTTCTATGCCTACCAAACTTAACATCATGAAGTCTGTAGAGAGTTTGACTAGAAGATTCCATCTATATCGATTAACTTAATTTTCTACATCTACCAAACTTAACATCATTAAGCCTGTACCATGTTCACCGCTCCTTTGGAGTTTGGTATGCAGCTATAAAGTGCAGGCTTTTTCCGTGGGAAAGAAATTAGGTGGAAACTGCAGCTATGTGATTTCAGTATGGTTATTTAGCTAGAGGTTACATGCCTGGATATATTTGTTGTCTTCAGACTTCTTGCTGGCTCAAGATTGTTCTATGTTTAATTTGAGAGCAATGTGACATGCTCATCAAATTTGGGAATTTCTTTCCTTTACCACATTCGCCTTTCTTCTTTATGAAGTCCATCTTCAAAGAAACAGCCATGCTAAATTTTTGTTGACATTTTGCGTTTCCTGGACATAGATGGATTAGGATTTCTCTAAACATACTGAGCACAGACCATAGTGCTCTAGGGGGTAGTTTTCCTCTTATGTGTCACTACGATGACTAGACGTGCACCAACTCTTGTACAGTACGTTTAATCATTCAATCAATTATGTGTCCATCCGAAACTAACTGGGATCTGTAGTATGAATCCTCTATATCTGTTCAAATCTATTCAATCTAGTTTACTCCAATACTAAATAATCTGTCTAATAATGCAAATAAGGAGTTCTGTAAAACTATAAGTTCTCTAAATTTGATACTTGTCTCCACACTGACGTGCAAGTCTCTTATCACATTAAAAAGACTTTTGGTGGACACCGGACATAATGTTAGTGTGATAACAGCGAAGCCTGAATCCCAACTAGTTTTATTGTCTATCTGGATCCATTGCTTCACTGTTTTTGCACTTATTAAGTCCACATTGATCACGAAAGTTATTTGGTCTTTGAAACAAATCCCTGACCCTCCATATGGGTTTAGGTTTGCCTCTCTTCTCCTTTTAGTACCTTACGCACTAGTGTATTTGGAGATCTGCATAGTGACATGGTTAAACCATCTCAGGTGGACTTCTCTCATTTTTTCCTCTGTGTGCTACTTGTTGACCCTTTGTCAGATCTGATTCTTTCTCTTGTGGATATGTTAAGTCTTGTTTGGTCTTTAAGGTCCCTTAAAACAATGTTGATCCCACAACAATTTGATATATTTGCCTTTTACCGAGTTATGGGTTTGGATCAGTATTTACAATTAATTCCTGTTTCAATTTGGAGGTTCTGTGAAGAAAGACCAATAAGGTAACAAGAAGAGATTGATTCTGGGAATATAAGGAGGAAAACTTGGCAGCAGAAAACATCGGCAGACTTCTATATCATCCAATAAAATTGGAATCTGTAGCTGTTGGATTTAAAGTTCACTTTTGATTATCTTAGAAACTTCTGAAGTAGTAAAGGAGAGGCAACACACAACAGATGGGAGTGTAGAGAGCAAACTATAATATGTGGAGAACAGATGATGTATGTCTCATTATAATAAATGAGTTTGTGTGTGTGTGTGTGTGTGATGATAGGTAAAATTTATTACTTAAGTACCCAAATGCATAGCTCATCAAGTTTCACCAGTTATGTTAGGCTACAACTCAGTTAATCTTCATTTTCTGGCACGATTTTGTTCTGCTTTTTCATGCATGTAGCTGCCTCTTATGCATGTTATATTTTCTTCTACGGTTGGGTGAAAGACGGAATTTTCCCTGAGAATGTTATTTGTTTTTTTAATTATTTTACAACAGGCCAGATCATAATCTGCAGGATGTGAGAGCAAAGGTATTCCCTTATAAGAGGCGAAAGGTGAACGCACCTGAAATTATGCCTTCAGTTGCATTGCCAGTAAGGAGAAAGGAGAGATCGCTCTCGTCACTTGTGGTCAGCACTCCAAGAGTATCTACACAAACTGGAATGACAGGAAGAAGATCAAAATCGGTGGCAAGAAAAACATTACGGGGTTCTGCCTTTTCAATTGAGAAACCTGTCAAGAAAGAAGAAGGTTCTGGAGAAGATCAGCTGGATAGCTCTAGCTCACCTGAGACTTTGAACAAGTTCACTCAGAACATAAGGCTGGTAAGTCATGTTCTTCAGATGTTAGGTGCTATGCCTCAATTTGGACTTCGTTGAGGTCTTGTCGTTGGTCAATGTTATGCAAAGACCTGCAGTATTATTGTTACAGTCAATCATGTCAATTTTTTGTAGAATTCTTCCAGTGGTGAGCCTTCTGACCACCCTACACCTGATAAGGAAATTGCGAACGGCAATAAACAGTGGGAAGGCAAACTTGATTTGTGGAAACCTTTAAATTGTTTGGTAGAAGCAGCAAACAGGAGCAAATCTTCGAGGTTTACCTCACAGGGTTCTACCGCTAAGTCAGAAGGTCTGCATTCTCATGACCGTGAGGGTCATGTCCGTAAAACTAAAGTCAAAGAACATGGGCACAAATTGAAGATCAAGGATGATAATAATGGTGATCCTGGTCCTCAAGAATTTGATAAACCTAAGAAATCATGTAGAATTCGCCAAAAGAAGGCATCAGCTTTTGGAGAGTTTAATATTTCACCGCAAACTGTACTGGATGCAACCAGTGCCAAATGTGAAAGGAGAATCTATCCAATATGGTTCTCATTAGTGGCCTTTGAAGACCAGTGAGAATCTGCTTTTATCTTATAGAATTTTTCTGCTTTACTTTTTCTAAGACAAGAGCGAATATCCAATGTTTTTAATTCTCCAAATTATTTGTGTCAGGGAGGGAGATGCACCCTTGCCACAGATTTCTGCAAGTTACTTGAGAATAAAGTAAGTGCATTTTATTCCTTGAAACATCTTATTATGCACTTAGAATTCACAATGGTTGTACCAAGAACATTTTAGCTGCATGAATTTTGGTTCTTACAAATTTGATAAGCTTTTCCAACCCTTCCTGAGGTACGAAGGTGACATCATTTCTTTCCAGCACTGCACAATTCTGCAACTTGTCTACTGCGGTGGCTATGGAGAAGTCATAGTTACGTTGCATAAAGATACATGATAGAAGCTAATTATGCTAACTACTTAATGTTGCGTCAGGAGCACTGAAACTGACCTTTATTGTAGAATAAACTCTCACTTATATAATAAGAGAACATGCTCTAAATCTGAGTACATTCAATGTGCTGTGTTAACAAGCTGGGCAGTTGATTTAAATTACCTTTATTTTTAGCATTTAATCACATCTGATCAGTATATTCTCGCATCATTTAGGGAGCAATCGTTTATAGACCAGCAATGGTCGAAAGTAATAATCTAAATTGAAGGTGCTGATTTGACTTTGAAATTGTACCAACTCTCTATTCTAACATAAAATGTTAGTATAACGGGTTCCTATAATCAGATAGATCGCTATCCATTTCTCCCTGAATTAGCTTGAGGAATTTACTTAAAAGTAGTCCAAAAAAGTAAAAACGTTATCTTAGATGTAGATTCCTCTACATCCTGAATACTGTATGCACCTGTCAATCACCGTGCAATTCATGCAAGTGTGGTATTCATGCGGTTTCTGTAAGACTCGTAAGCCACTTTATTCCCTCTTATTGACCCAATAGTACCTCAAACTGAAATGCCTACTCTAAAGAGACCTTCTATGAATTTGAGGTTGTTTCTACCATCTCTCAAACACTGCCTCGCAGAATCGATAATTATACAGAAATGCTCCTAGTCTCTTTCATAATCCAACGTTAATCTCAAGTTCTCAGCCACCGAACAAATCCAAAAATCCTTAGTTACCACATCTTAAATCTTGAACCCACTAGATGTCAAGTGCAACGATGGTGGTCATGGTTTGTAAAGTCCCGTAAGGTGGTGGTTGGTAATCGCGATTGTTTTTTTCTACCTTTTAAATATTTTCCTTGTTTTTATTATTTATTGTTTTTTTTTTATTTTTTTCATAATTATTTTCTTTTAAAATAATATTATTTCATGTATATAAATATCATTTACAATGCTTAAAACTCATTGTGATTTTATTAGATCTACCGTCGATATATTAAAAGAAATAACGTGCAAATTTTGCCAAAAAGAGGGATGCAATCCGGTGCGTTAGTGCTGGTATGATCGCGTCCGACATTCCTTGTGCTCTAAATTCACTTAATACCTTTCCTCCTTCCATTTTAGGTGCGGAAGTGTAAAACCTCAAAACGACATAACTTTACGCTCATTTATCCGTTTCACGCGATTCCTTTCTTGATTTTAAGTATTTTTTCGAGGGCAAAGGCATTGACTATGACAACAAGCCGCACTCGACGATAACATCACAATTAGAGGGCCCGTTAGGCCCAGCGGCATGCCGAGAACAAAGCATTAGCCAATCGCACTAGGCTACATTGAACGACAACATCGCTACTAGAGGTTTTACGGGTGTCGCCTTCGAGGTTAGGGCATAGTAACATGTCAAGTGCATCGATGGTGGTCATGGTTTGTAAAGTCCCGTAATGTGGTGGTTGGTAATCGCGATTGTTTTTTTCTACCTTTTAAATATTTTCCTTGCTTTTATTATTTATTGTATATTTTTTTTATTTTTTCATAATTATTTTCTTTTAAAATAATATTATTTCATGTATATAAATATCATTTACAATGCTTAAAACTCATTGTGAACTTATTAGATCTAGCGTCGATATATTAAAAGAAATAACGTATAAATTTTGCCAAAATGGTGCTATGTTTACACTTTCCAACTACTGAAAAACGAAAGGTACTCTACACTCTCCAACCATAAATAAACCATGGTTAATCTATCACCTCATTTCTACACCCACTTTTCGTAAAAGAACCATAAGTTTTTATAAATGTGAAATCTGCTGTTCTTAGCTTAAAAAATCAGTGGATAATGGCCCGCCCCTCTATACTTCTCCACTTAAATACCAAACTTGGTTAATAAGAGGATTCAAACTCTTGACATGCGTCTACACTGCTGAACTATATTTTCCACTGAACAAAAGCCCTAGGGGCATAAAGAACCATATTTGTACTCTTAGTAGATGAACCAAGTCAATATGTATGTACAAGATGCCTCTCGATGTTCAATTTTAAATGGAGAGATTTAATGGTGATTTCCAGAAACAATGAGGAAACTGGTCTTCTTTGTCATGTTATTTCAAAAACTAAAAAGTAAAACCAATATAAAAAAATAAAAAGTAAAAACAATAGCTGCCACAGCTTTCACATCTCTTTTCTGCTTGTGCTTCTGGTCAATGTTTTTCTATGTTGTTGATGATGCCTTTTGGTTTGGTTTTTTATGTCGTTGATTCTTTTTTTCTAGTTTTTCTTTTTCGTTTAACTTCCTTTTGTTTTTACAAGGTGTTGTTATCTTTCTAGAACTGTTTGATGTCCTTTTTGGGTAGATTTACTTAGTTTAAAAAAAAAAAATTATATTTCTTCTTTTTGATGACCGGGTATCGCAAATCCAGTCTAAGGAAAGTGCTGGCGAGCCAGTTCTGTAGGTTCTCTTTAGCTCCGCGTATCAATCTATGTTTGTTTGTTGGAGCTTTCCTGCACACTTCTTTTCCATTATTCAACAGTCGCTACAATCAGATATGGGTGTACAACTAGCCCTGCTTTTGAAATTGGACAGAACCAGCTGGTTAAAAGCAGTTGGGTATGCTATCTGGGACCATATACTTATCCTAGGAAACCCGTGTGGGCAGAGAGCATCTGGAAATGACATGCAGTAACATGACCCTTGCACTTAGATGACTGAATACAATCATGAGTGCAAAGAATTTCTTACTACAAACCTACCTATGTTTTTCTATAACAAATGGGTGCTAACTACACCTTTGTGAAGGAGACCAACTGGCTTCAATGAGGGATTTACCTATGGAGCAACCCAAAAGGTGACCCGGGGCATTATTTTAAGAAAATTACTTAGTGGATTCTCACCAAGTCTTTTGCATTTGGTCTTGGAATAGTCTTAGATGCTCTAAACAATTGGAGTAAGCCAGTGATTGGTCTTTTATCAATTTTAGTCAACTGGATGGGTGAGTCCGACACCTACCTTCCAAGACGGTTATGATGTGAACCCCAGTTATAATTTGGATTTCTTTCTGTGGAGGAAGCCAGTTCTGGAGCATAGCTAATAGATGCTGAAGATAAGAGTTAAGGTACTGGATGGGTTACTAGGACAAAACTGCTGGAGGATTAATTCTCCCCTTTCAGGATAGGATTTTCTTTTACAGGCCAGTATTTCTTAGGGATTGCAACTACTTATGAGAGACCTGTCTTGCAAAGTTGCTGTAAACTACAAGCTAGCTACTTGCTTCATGATGATAACACTGCGCCACCTTGGGTAGTATAATAAAATGGATGTTCATGCCTAGTTAAGTGCCTTTATGTTCCTTGTCTTCTCTTGATTTTAAGATAGCTCCTTACGTATTGCCTCTCTCTCTAGCATATAGTTGCTAACTCAGTCTCTTGCTGGATCTTATGTGGTGTTCACAGTTATTTGACCAATCAGGTGAATGATGAAAATAGTGGCTTATAATAGTCCTTCTTGTACCACTTTCTTCTGGTATTAGAAGTACCATTGGTAAACCAATCTGATTCCCCTCCGAGCTGTTGGATGGCTTCTGTAGAGAGCAATATTCTTGCATAGCTCCTTTTGATATGTATTCTCCTTTTATAGGGATATATCCCCCTTTTGTGACATTAATATCTTAGGTGTAATTATTCTAATTTTTTAAGAAGTACAACAATAGTGTACTATAGACTATAGAGTGTCTATTTGTTAAACTCATTTATTTCTACTTTTTTCTTAGAAGGCTAGAAGTAGCAACAGTTGTGATCTAGCATTACTGCATTCATAATTTCTTGTTTTCCATCTTCTTGCCTATTTCCCAGCTACACTACCACAGTTGCTTTTTAGTCTACGCCCCTCAAGCCTAAGAATTCTCTGGTTTCTTCCACGTCAGTGCTGCAACTGATTTACTTTTGCAGCATGTTTCTGCTGCCCAAAAGTTCCTCCAATATTCAGAGTGATGTTTGCCTACGCACCTGCCATATATTGGTTTAGATTTTTGTATTTCTTATTTTCATTTGTTTCCACCCCTTGGATATTCTTATCACCAATTTTGAATTGTGTACCCTCGTGTAGGTGAGGCTTGAATTTAGAAACTTTGCCTGCTCATCATAAGTGTGTGACCACTTCATTTTAAAGTTTAAGCTTTTAGAGAAGGACATATTATTTGTTTATATTAGGTCAGCAACACTCAGGTTGACCTCTCAAAGCTAATCGTTTGCTTTGGTATAAAAGGTCCTACTTTACTGTTGATGAACGAGGTTAGATTTGTTATACTGACTAGTAGGACCAATCCTCCTACATTTGTTGGCTGTCTTCTAGGGGGTAGTATTCAACAAGCAACAAGTGTCGTCAAAGGCATGCTTAAGCCCTAAAGCGAGGCTTAAAACATGTTGAGCGTTTCGCCTCGCTTAGCGGGCGCTTCAGTGTTATCATCAAGGCTCTAAGGCATACTTTTTCTTGCCAATGAGCGTAATTCTGAAGAGGCAAACCTAAACAATTAATATTTCACTTTATTGTGAAAAAAATCAATTTATTTCTCCATATATTTGCTATTCATACTTATAATTATTAGTCTAGGACTATACATACATATTTGTATTTTTTCTCTACTTGTACCTTTCTTCGTTAAAGCCCATGCTTTATTTGCGTTTTGCACTTAAAGCCCCAATGTACCTCAAGAATTTTTCTTGCGCTTTGCGCCTTTGATAACATTGCAAGCAACAACAACTATGCCTCAACCCCAATTTGGGTAAACAAGGATTGTAGCATGAGGACTTGCGAGGGAGTCACCCATCCTAGTACTACTCTCGCCTAAGTATGTTTAGTTTTAATGGGATCCAGTGCATTAGTGCTGGTATGGTCGCATCCACGTTTGCTCGAAATAGAAGAATATCACTACTAATAGTTAGTATGCCCTCCATCTGATTATGTTTTCATGAATAGGACTAAGGTCCTTGAGCTTGAACTCAAAATGGTCTCCTCTTCAAGTGAAGATTGAAATATATGGAAGCTAGATCGGACAAAGACTATGAAGTATCCATCCCCTTTTTTTATCTCTTTGTTCTGGTTTGGTCTATATCTTGGTGACCTGTCCAATTTCAAACAACTAATTATATACCAACCCAGCATCCTATCTCCAGACCAGCAAAGTTCAGAAATCACAGTTGTTAACTTTTAATGGCTTATAACCAACAGTAATATGATGGTAGTAATGAACGCATGAAATGAAGCGTGCTTGTGATCTGGGAACTTTGAAAAGAAAAAAGGAAAATCACAGACAAAAAGGGCCTTGCAATTTGATATGTTGACATTAAAATTCTTAAACGGTTCATAAGAATGCTAAATGGAAATAGAGCAGTTTTTGGGAAGATTTGAAAAGGGTAAAATGGCAATGCAGAAAAAGAGGTCTGCTCTGGAAGTTGCTAATAAGATAATCTGACAATGATTGGCCTGATGGCACCTAAATTCGCATGTAATCTGACTTACAAAGTAGTTTTGGATGTATAACTAGCAAGGATCTGCAAAGGCTTGGATAATGGAGGCATGACGAAAAATAATGAAGGCGGCTTAAGATAATCATTGGGGATGGATAAGCAATAGCTGTCAGCAGTGGAAGACACGTAGAAAGAGAAGCTCATGTTGGGAAACTTTCTGTGCGCCAAAATTTAGATTGAGTAGTCCATTTGTAGTAGGAAGGGACCAATATTTATAAGTAATATTTTATGACATGAATTCTTGCGTATTTTCCTCAATGTTTCTCATATCTTCTGCTGTTGCAGGGACGGTAACATTCCAGTTTCTTTCATCCAAAAATACCTGGTGAGGAAGTTGGATCTTAAGAGCGAAGACGAGGTAATTGGCTTGATTTTAGTTATTTATAAATCAACGAACAACACATCCATTTATTCACATTATACATCTTCCTTGGTGATGTACAATTGAAGTTAGTGGGGGACATGATTTTCTATAATATTAATTGCCATTGGGTGCAATGTTCATTCGGTCTGGTTTTGAACGGGTTGAACTCAACTTTGGGTCAGGTAACTGTCTACGTTACGTGAGTGCAATATGAGGAATTATCATGTGTAATGCTCAATGTTAACTGTAATATGTTCCTTTCGGGTTACCAAGAAGATGACCCATAAGTGACGAGTATGGTTGCCCCTAAGTATGACAGAGAGGGAGTTCTTGCAATAAACTTGACTGAAGAAAACATACATGATTTAATTGTTTTACTTTTTGTTGTGCTGACTCGAGTTTATTTGTAGGTTGAGATTAGATGTATGGGACAATCAATAGCCCCCAGTTTACCACTTAACAGTTTGGTTGATATGTGGCTTCAAACTACTACATCTGAAAGAATTCCAGCAATTATTGGTTCATCAGCAAAGGACTTTGTGATGGTATTGGCTTATGCTCGAAAGGTTCCAGGCGTTCCAGTTTCTTGAGTTATTATCACTGCATTCATGTACTTTATAAACTATATGAGAGCTAGTCTTATGTTGAAGTAGCAGGCCAGAATTGCTAGACCCCTTTGCCTCGAGTGGCATATGGTGAGATTGTAAACTTGTAAGTTGTATTTAATCACTGCAACTAGAATTGGTGGAGATCAGCGGGAAACGAGCAACAGGATAAGAAAAAAGATGAGATTTCACATGGGACCCTGAACGAGTTTGGCCATTCGTGCTCTAACCGAGAAGATACCATGCTCTCAAGTTCACTATCTTTCTGCAATGTGTTGTATGCTTGTACACTACCTTGTAGTTATACTGCATGAATTTTGATAATGTTTTTCATTATGACTTTCGATCCTCCGTACTTCATAATACACAATTATTTATTTTTCAAAGATCCTAGTATTTCATCATCAGCCTCCAGAATGATGAATTACATTGCTGTATTCTAATTGCCATTCTGAGTTTAGAATTCATGTGCATATTTTTTCTGCTGCTATTCTGGAGATGTCCGCGCTATCTTCATCCAGATTATCAAACTTCCTTATACATGAATATGATTTAACTTAGCTGGAATGACAGTGGATAGATAGCATTCCTTTCACAGATGTTTGAGCTGTGTTATCAAAATTCATGTCACAGATGTTTGAACTGTTTGAGCAATTGACGATTGGCAAAAAATTGTCAAACTATGTTGAATCTTATTAGACTTGAATAGAACAGGATGAATACAGAGCATCATATAACCGATCCTAACAATTTAAAATTTGGATGCTGTTGCCTGTTGATTCATTAATCAAATATATCAGCACTAAAAGTGCAACAATAATCCAGTAAAGCTCAGTTAATTAGTGAAACATCTACTCCCAAATCACAGAAATTCCATACATCATTTGTTTACTAACTCGAAGTAGCTATGCTTTTTCACTATTAAACTGAGAGTACTCTTTATATACAATGACAGCACAAAACTAGACATACTCCAAATAATCCGTGTCTCAATTCTCAATTCAATTGCCGGAAAAAATGTAAACAACAGCCATTCGACCATACAATAAACCTTGAAATTGCATTCCTTAATGCCTTGAACCTGATTGCATTCTAATCCAACCTTGTATATATTGCATACAATGAAAATTTTATTCAAGTTGTTGAATTAATTGCTTCAACAAGAAGCCATTGACTACAAAAACATTTGCTCCGTGTTAGCTTCTTCATATCATGACGAGCTACCAACAAAAGACAGCAATCCACCATCAGCAGCATCATCCTCTTCCAAAAACAAATCCTCTGTAATTCTAAACGTACAATGCAAAAATACTAACACCATTCCCACCACGATCGAGACCAACACATTCAACCAGACACGTGTCAGTACCAAACTCACCACTGTAACAACGCTTAGAACAACCAGAACGATCCTATCATCAATCATACGGTTAAAAACCATCAACGGCTCGTCGCGATGGAAGTAGAGGAAAAACCAAGCGACGAACACGATTAAGAAGACGATCATTGAAATCGGATGCCATAAGAGGCTTAAGAAGAGTATGAGAAGCACAACGATGGCATAGTTGACCCGAAAGTAACCGAGGTTTCGCTTGACCCGAGATGTGAAATCGGCGAGGGAAATGGGTCGGGTATAGGAAGACGGGTGGGCCAATAGTTCTCTCCATGGACGACGCCGAGCGTAGAAGGAAAGTGTGCCGGATCTGGCCCGATTGAAGGAGAAGTCATAAGCCGCATGCATGATTGATCGGATTGTAATTTAGGGTTTCAAATGGTGAATCTTCTCGAATAAGACCCTAGAAGGGGATTGAATGGCGCCTAAATAATTGGTCGTTATATTAAAAGATAGTTACACTTTTAGTCCCTTTGAAAAAAAATTACTGTAATTTTGTGCTTCATCAACATATATAAGAGGAATGGAGAAAATTCGTGATTGGGATATAATTCAACGAGAGTAATCTTCTTTTCTATCTTTTTAACTCAAATCATTTAGGGTGTGTTTGGTATGAAATGTGTTCCAATTTTCCCATGTTTGATTGACTTAAATGTTTTGAAACATATTTTCTTCATGAACTCATTTTCCTTCAATTGGAGAAAATTTTTTTTCCTGTCAAGAGAGGGAAAACATTTTCCAAAACTCTTTTTTAACTTTTTCACCCCATTTTCCATCCCCACCCCCTACCANAAAACTTTTGACCCTATGAAAAATACCCCAAGAAGAGAAATAACAAAATCATTCTCCCTCATATATATCCTGTCTCCATTACGATATTACTCTAGTTTGCTCTCATTTCTTAATACGTTATCAGCACGAAGTTCTAACCAACTGAGGTTATCTGCTTCATTCGAATTTTATCTTCTTCCAAAAAGAGGTAGTTAATTTCTTTTCCGATTCAGGTATACATTCTTATGTTTATAATGTTTTTACTAGGATCTTCTTTAATCTGCAATTTAATTATCTTATGCATAACTTATTTTGAATATGATTATAATAATTGCCTTGGTATGAAAACAATAAGCTTCGGTTAAATTGTTATTTCATTATATAATCTACGAAGAAGTTTAAACCTACACATAAATAGATAAGTATTAAATTAAATTACCATGATTAGACTAATTAATCCCACATCCAAATGTTATGATAGAATAGGTATTTAGAAGGAATTCTTGAAAAAATTTCAAAAGGTTTAAACGTATCTTCGATGAATTTATCACCTAAGTGTACAAACTTATTAATGACTTAACTATTATATGAATCGTATTCAATGTTGAAACTTGGCAGAACTGATATCATCTAGTTTTATGCCTACTTAACTTATTGAAACGTCTTCTAAGTAGAACAAAATATACTAGTACCTATTAATGAGAGTGCTTCAACTTATTTATTCTCCAAAAATATACTTACATGTCTAAAGTTTTTGTGTGTAATATTAAGTACTAATTCATCACCGCACTACACATAATTATTTGTTCTAACAATTATATAGAGATTGTTAATACACGATTATATTCTGTATTGATTTTTTTTTTCATTGATAATAATTCTTATCATTCTAATTCACTTATTTTTTATGATAGTTTTCACTATGTCAAATTTGTCAAAACTTAAATTTGTGGCACTTGACATCTTTAGGAATAACTATTTGTCATGGGTGCTTGATACTGAAATTCACCTTGACGCTAAAGGCCTTGGTGACACTATTAAAGAAGGAAATGAAGCGTCAAATCAGGATAAGACAAAAGCCATGATTTTCCTTCACCATCATCTCGATGAAGGGTTAAAAAGTGAATATTTAACCTTAAAAGATCCATTTCAACTATGGACTAATTTGAAGGAATGATATGACCACCTAAAAGCTACGGTATTGCCAAGAGCTCGTCGTGAGTGGATGCACTTACGGCTACAAGATTATAAGACCATAAGTGAATATAATTCTGCTGTATATAGAACAATTTTTCAACTAAAATTATGTTGGGAACCTATGAATGATGAGGACATGTTGGAAAAGACTCTTTCCACTTTTCATGCCTCAGATATGGTGTTACAGCAGCAATACCGTGAAAAGGGCTTTAAGAAATATTATGAGTTAATTTCATGCCTTTTGGTGGCTGAACAACATAATACCTTTTTAATAAAAAATCATGAAGCCCGCCCAGCTCCATTTCCAGAAGCGAATATGGGAACGATAGATCCAAAGTATGAAAAAAGATAAAATAATTATCGTGGCTGTATAAATATACGTGGACGTAGCAAGGGACGAAATAATAATCGAACAAGAGAACAATAAGGATTCTCAGAATAATCTTTCAAAAGGCAAAGGTAATATTTGCCACCGATATGGTATGAAAAATCATTGGGCATGAATTTGTCGTACACCTGAATATTTTGTCAAACTTTATCAAGCATCTATAAAAAGGAAACAAAATAAAGTTGAGACTCGCTTGACCTTTCAAAATAATGTTGAGGCGGCCCCTATGAATAATCATGATAAAGTTGAAGCAAACCTTGCCTATAAAGATGATATTTTCGAAGGCCTTACAGATATTACTCATTTAGAAGCCGGAGACTTGTTGGAGCATCATAATTGAAGACTTATTATTGAAAAACATTATAAGAATAAATGTATTTTTTTTATGAAGTTCATGTTTTGAATAAAACTTTTTATGTTGTCAGTATTTAATTTCCTAAATGTAGTTTCTTTTGTTCTTAATTTTTTCAATATTACTTATGATGTATTTTTTTTTATGAAGAATATGAAAACTTCCCAGTCTTCAGTTGGCCGTATGAATAATAAAGAAGAAATATGTCTTCTAGATAGTGCTACGACGCACACCATATTAAAAGATACGAGATATTTCTCTTATTTAACTATGAAAGAAGCCAATATCATAACAATATCTGATAGTATAAAATTAATTGAGGGCTCTGGAAAAGCGACTGTATTACTACCAGAAGGAACTATATTGGTTGTTAATGATGCATTATATTGTAGTAGGTCTCAAAGGAACTTGTTGAGTTTCAAAGATATTCGCCAAAATGGCTATCATATTGAGACCACCAATGAAGGAAAGGTTGAATACCTCTATATTAATACAATAAAAGCGGAAAAGAAGTATGTGCTTGAAAAGCTTTCCGCATTTTCCTACGGATTATACTACACTAGTGTTAGTGTAGTTGAATCACATGCCATAGTAAACAAGGAGTTTAATAATGATTTTATTATTTGGCATGACCGGTAGGGCCATCCCGATTATAATATGATTATTGAGAATTCACATGGTCATTCATTGAAGAACCAGAAGATTCTTAAAACTAAAGAATTCTCTTGTGCTGCATGTTCTCAAGGAAAACTGATTATTAGACCATCAGTAATTAAAGTTGGGGTTGAATATCCTGCATTTTTGGAACGTATACAATGTGATATATGTGGGACCATACATCCTCCATGTGGACTATTCAGATATTATATGATTTTGATATATGCATCTACAAGATGGTCACATGTGTGCTTGTTATCAACCCGCAATTTGGCCTTTGCGAGGTTACTAGCTCAATTAATAAGATTAAGAGCACATTTTTCAGATTATACAACTAAGACACTTCATCTTGATAATACTGGTGAATTTACGTCCCAGGCCTTTAATAATTATTGCATATCAATTGGGATAACAATTGAGCATCCAGTTGCTCATGTTCATACTCAAAATGGTCTAGCGGAATCATTGATCAAACGCCTCCAATTAATTGTTAGACCAATGCTTATGAGAACAAAACTTCCCATTTCATCATGGGACCATGCTATTTTTCATGCAGCAGCTCTTGTGCGGATCAGACCGACAAGTTATCATAAAGTCTCCCCAATATAATTGGCTTTTGGTCAGGAGCCAAATATTTTCCATCTTAGAATATTTTGGATGTGCAGTATATGTTCCAATTACTCCACCACAACGCACAAGATGGGACCCCAAAGAAGATTGTGGATATATGTT